TGGATAGAGGACTGTTGAGCCCATCACAAGTACTAGTTCAGTGTGTTTTCCCACAACCAACCCTCCAATTTCCATTTGTGTTGGTGATTCTCAGTGACCTTCAATTTGGTTTGCAAATTGTTCCTATCAAACAGGAGAAGGACTTTGCCCTCCTAACAAATGAGACACCAGGGAACCTGGGACATTTTTTTTAATCTTTCATAATTTGACATCCAGATGTGCCCTAGCCTGTCAATACCTCCTCCAAAGTTAGCTCTGTCCCAGTACCTCCAACTTCCACACTCAGTGAAAGGAGACTACAATTCTGAAGCAAAAGGCTTGGCATTGAAGCAGTGGTCCCCATGGGCCAGTGTGGGGAGGGAAGGGGAGTGGAGGTTTCTTTCAGGACAAAGGGCCAAAGGATAGGAGACGGAGTGGTTCAGCAGTGGAGGTAGGTTACACAGGGCGAGAGCAGAGGGCACCTCCTGAAAGATGGGAATCGTGAGTGGGGAGCTCTTCTGGGGCTGAGGCCTTGGGGAAGCTAGGGGAGGCTGTGGGTCCAGCTCCAGTGCAGGTTGCGGGGGCACAGGGGCCTCCACCTTGGGGCTACTTTGTTGAGCAACATAGCTCCTACTCTCAGTGCTGTCCAACTCCCACAGAGAATCTGAAGTCTGGACCTCGGTATCAGTCATGGAGACAGTCGGGGAAGGGCCCATGTTGATGGCTGTGTTCATGCCATAGTGCCTTCGCTTGTTAATCCAGTACAACAGTGGGCTGTAGGTGAATGTAGTGGCTCTCATCACCTCTCCCCACTCCTGGGCACGCTGTTTCCGCCGCAGGTTCTTCCTCCAGTGCAGAAAGAGGATGCAGCCACCAGTTAGCACTGAACACAGCCCCAGGAATCCAAAGTACAGCACAATCCACACTAAGGCAATAAGAAGGGAAAAAGAGGCAAACTGGCTGATAGCTCTAACTTGGGGCCTGAGTTGTTTCTTCTTCTTCTTCTTAACCCATTCATTGGTCATTCCATCCACGTAACCATGCTCTTCATTCCTTCTCTCCCTCCTCATAGATTTCATCATTCTCTTAGTCAAAGTTAGATTTCCAGGGACTTTAAGAGGCCCCCTAGCCCTTTATAGATAAAGAAAGCTGGAGGTTGGAGTGGAGCATGGCCTATCCGGGCTTAGTCTGGCCTCTGGTTCTCAACCCTGGACCCATCCAATCTACCAGATGGAGAACCACACTAAAGGCGAGGCTTGTCAAGGAAGTGAGAGTTTAACAGTTGACAGGGACACCAGTGTTCCATCCCATTCTACCCATTCAGTTGTGGTGGTCCTAGTGTATTCATAGCACCCCTCTGCCCTCAAAAAATCCTTAATTTTCTAGAGGAAACCATAGCTTAACTGCTTAGCACTCCTCCATGCAGGACCCACCACACACACCATCCATGCTAAAGGTCCTCCCAAGCTAAGGGCACCAAGCAAGGGTCAGGAATAGGAGGGTCATTTACCATTAGGGATACTCAGGTCCTTCGGTTGGGAATCCATAAGGTCCAGCTCTGGTATCTTGCCAGTGGCCCTGGAGAGAGGGAGCTTACCTACCCATCTCTCCAGTTACTATGAGTCCTTGAAATGCTCAGGCCCCATTGTTTCCTAAACATGAGGTCACTGGATTCTGAGCATTGAGCATTCTGGAGGGCGGAGCTTGTGAAGTCTTGGGTTAATGATAGGGACTTCATCTAATGGTGTTGTACTATATGTCTACCACTTGAATCAGGGACTGACCCAGCCACTGAATTGTCTGTCCCCTACCCCTTATGGTGAACCCACAGAACAGCCCCAACCCCAGGAAAAGGCCCCAGTCCCTCAGGGACTTATCCATATTGCTGGTCATTAAGAAACAGTTGATGGAGACCTGTTCCCAGTGGGAAGTGTGGCAGGGAGCACATACAGCTTTGGGCAGCCCTGCCCTCAAGATGTGTGTGATCCAGCTGTCAGAAGAAAACCTGCTCAAGAGAACTAAGTGAATAATGCCTCCTATCTTGCCTCTTAACAATCTTATTTTTGTTTCATTACCTTCCTTCAACAAGTGGTGTTCATAGGGCACCACGTCCTGTGGGAGCTCCCTATTTTCTGGCCTTACATCTTTTCCAGCCTCACCTTCCTCCCCATCCTTCACTTACTTCTCCCTTCTGATTAGGCCAGACTTCGTAGCACAGCCTGCTTACATCTCTGGAGTTTTGCTCATACTGCCTCTACTTGAGTGCCCCTCCCCACTCTTTCCCCCACTGAACACCTGCTTATCCTTCAAAGCTTAGCTCAACTCCCATACTCTATGACAAACAGTTGTTTCAGTTGGCTTCCCAGAATGCTATCATCTCCAGTTTGAAGAGGTTTTGAGGATTGTCTAGTACCAAATCCATCAGATGCTTGAGCCCTGGAGGTAAATATCCTCTACCCAGCAACTCAGCCCCTGGGACTTGCTTGAGTCAGGGACTTACTTGCTAAAACCTCCTGAGGCAACTTGATCCATTTATGGGTTGCTCAGTTAGAACACCCTTCCCTAATTAAGCTCAAGTCAGCCTCCCTGTACTACCCCTGGGTCTAGCTCAGCTTTTTGGCACCATTTAATTACTTTCCTCTCTGTGGCCCCCCAGCATGTGACTTGGGCACTATTTTGCATAGATTTCTTTCCAGGTTTACTTAACCCTCAACTTGCCTCATACCTCACTGGCTCCTGCTTTGAAGTCTCCTTGGCTAGTTTCTCTTTTTCCCTGACCATTAAATGTTAGCACGCCCTCAGTCCTTAGCCCTCTATCTATATTCACTCCCTCGGTGATCTCATTCAGACTAAGAGATTTTTTTTCCTTTTTATTGAATTTATTAAGGGGACACTGGTTAACAAAATTATACAAATTTCAGGTGCACAATTCTACAACACATCATCTGTACTCTGTATTGTGTGTTCACCATTGCAAGTCAAGTCTCTGTCCATCACCATTTGTCCTCCCTAAACCCTCCTTAATCTCTTTACATACCTTCCATCAGACTCATAGTTTTAAATATCATATATACACCTATATATACCAATAACTAATTGCTTTTTATCTCCAGCCCAGACTGTTCCTCAGAACTCTAAACTCATTCACACAACAGTCCAGTTGATGTCCCTACTTGTCAGTCTATTAAGTGATCTTAAACTAACATGACCAAAACTAAACTCCTGGTCATCCACCCTCTAACCTACTCTAGCCTTTCTCCTCTCCGTACATGGCAACTCTCTCCTTTCAGTTGTTCAAGCCAAAGCCTATAAGTCATTCTCAACTCCTTTATTCTCTCACAAATTCACTCCATTAGCAAATGCCTTAGGCTTGCTTTCAAAGCCATGTTCCTGTCACTATCACCTTATTCTAAACATTACTATCTCTCACTTGCATTAGTCTTCCCATAGGGTGACCAATCATCCTAGTTGGCCTGGGACTGAGGAGGTTTTCAGGACATAGGACTTTCAGTGTTAAAACCATGAAAGTCCCAAGTAAACCAGGACAAACTGGTCACCCTTAGGAGAGCTTCTATCCTTGCGTGCCCCCGACCCCCCATGCCCCACATTCCACAAGCAGACAGAATACTTTTAAAAATAGATCATTTTCTCTGCTCAAAACCTATAGTGACTTCCCATTTCACTCAGATTCAAAACCAAAGGCCTTCAAAACCCTGAGCAATCTAACTACCCTTCTCCGTACTTCTTCACACAATAACCTCCTTGGTGACCACAAGCAGGGCAAGCATATTTCTGCATCAGAGCATCTGCTTGTCATTTCCTTTATCTGGAAGGCTCTTGCTCTAGATATCCATACAGCTCATGCCCTCATTTCCTTCAGGTCTCTGCTCAAGTATCCATATTTCTATTCTGCTTTTTTTTTTTTTTTTTAAATTTAAATTCTTTATTATTTAAAGTATTACATATGTCTCCTTTTCCCCCCATTGACCTCTCCCTGGCTGCTCTCACTCCCAGCACATGCCTCACCCCCTATTGTTTGTGTCCATTGATTATGCTTATATGCATGCATACAAATCCTTTGGTTGATCTCTTAACAACCCCTTCCTGCCCCCCTGCACACACACACTTTCCTTCTGGGGTTTGATGGTCTGCTTGATGCTTCTATGTCTTTGAATCTATTTTTGTTCAGTTTATGTTGTTCATTATGTTCCATAAATGAGTGAGATCATGTGATATTTATTTCTCTCTGACTGGCTTATGTCACTTAGCAGAATGTTCTCCAGACCCATCCATACTGTTGTGAATGCTAATAGTTCTTTCTTTTTATGGCAGCGTAGCATTATTCCACTGTGTAGATGCACCAGAGTTTTCTAATTCACTCATCTGCTGATGGGCACTCAGGTTGTAAATTGTGCTGCTATGAACATAGGGGTGCCTATAATCTTTCTGGTTGGAGTTTTTTATTTCTTGGGATATATTCCTAGAAGTGGGATTACTGGGTCAAGTGGGAGTTCCATTTTTAATTTTTTGAGGAAACTCCATACTATTTTTCCACAGTGGCTGCACCAGTCTGCATTCCCACCAGCAGTGCATGAGGGTTCCTATTTTAACGAATGGCATCTATCCTCACCTACCATGATATATTTATTTATTGTGTCTCACAATACTCGGTGATTACAACCCATTAAAGGACCTTCGATGCTGAAGGACAACTACTACAGCAAGTGCCAGGAGACTTTAAAAGGGAGCAAGCTCCGGTGAGGACCAGCACACCCGAGCGACTTTCCAGAGGAGACCTGGAGAGCAGAGGCTGCTGGTACCCACCCGGCAGGCGTGAATCGGGCGGGCTCCAAGGAGGAGGCGGGCAGTGGAGGGACGTGCAGAGCCCGCGGACCGGACCAGCGGGGCCTGGAGACTCTAACTCCCGCCCTGCCCCCTTCGCCCGGCCGGCCAGGCTCCCGGAACCTTGAGCGCGCGGAACCTCGAGGCCGGGGCGCCGGCGCCGCGGACCCGGAGCGCCAATGGAGCGGGCGCGCGGCCCGCGGGTCGAGGCCGGGGCGCCCGAGGACACCGAGGAGGAAGGGGAGGTGGGGCCCGCGATGGCTGCCGTGGTGGCGGCGGCGGGCGGCGCTGGACCGGCGATCCTGCAGGTGGCCGGCCTCTACCGGGGCTTGTGCGCGGTGCGCAGCCGTGCCCTGGGCCTGGGGCTCGTGTCACCCGCGCAGCTGCGCGTGTTCCCTGTGCGCGGCGCCTCCCGCCAGCCCGCGGGGGGTGACGGCGGCGGCGGCGGGGTCGAGGCCGAGCTTGAGGCCAACCCTTTCTACGACCGGTACCGCGACAAGATCCAGCAGCTGCGCAGGTGCGGGATCCCGCGGGCCGGGGGTTGAGTGGGGTTCGGGGGGTTGGGGAGGAGGGGTCGGTGGGCCCGCGGTTCCCGTGTGCCTGGCGCTTCCTGTAGTCCTGCAAGGTGGGCACTGCCTCTGTCCGCACCCAGGGGAAGTACCAGGCTCTAAGAGGCAAGATCACTGCCTCCGGTCCCACAGCTACTGTTAGAGCTGAGAGTCTCTGCAAAGCCCTGGCTGTTTCTCCGTGGCCTACCTTTGTGTTTTAGTTTCCTAAGCAGGCAGCTCCAAGACACCTGTCCTTAAAGAAATGGGGAAATGGAGCCTTCCAGAGAAGGCACTTGACTTGCTCGAGGTCGCATACTGACTCAGCTGAGGCCTGGTAGTCGTGTCCCAGTTGGATCATCCATTGAACCCTCTCATTAAGGTGAGAAAGCTGAGGATCAGAGACAGTAAGAGGCCTGCCCGTGATCACACACCTGGTTGGCATTCTTCTGCTTCCAGATGAAAGGACTTGGGGCTTAGAGGAAGTTTGTGGGGGTCATGGTAGGGTCTGAAGAGTTTCAAGTGGAGGAGCTAAAGGAGATCAAAGGTGAAAAGTAAAGGGGCTTAGGAGAGAATTTGGCAGGGTGGGCAGACAGTTGTCTTATGGAAGGAAACCAAAGACCCAATACTGTAACTTCTTTGAGTTTGGTCTCATCTCTCATTCCACGACCTTAATTTAATTCCCCATCATCTTCATCTGGACTCTCACTGTCATCCTCTAGCTAGTCTTCCCCACTCGTCTTGGACCCCTCCATCCCAGTCCATCTCATTGCTACTATGGTGACTTTTCTTCTCTTTTTGAAAGAATGATGGAATAAGTGAATGACTATTTTTTGCTCTTCTTTCAACATCATTCAAATATACTCACATATTTGTCTTCTTAAAAAACCTTTTCTTGGCCTTCATTTCCCTTCAGCCTTTTCTCATTGATCTCTTTCACAAACAGCAATGTCAGGAGAGTTGTCTACTCATACTTTGAATATTTCACAACTAGTCTTCATTCTCACCCACGAACAAATGAGTGACTGGTCTTACTTTCCTCCACTAACTCATTCCCATCGACATTTACTTTCTGCTATGTTGAACTTGCCGCTGACCTCTGGATAATATCCATATTCCCTCGAGTTCCTCACAAGGCTCTTATGCTGTGAGCTTTGCCTCCCTAGCTTTATTACCAAAACTCCCTAAGAGCACTGTGGGTTAACACAAAGGAATACAGGAATGGGATTGGGGGAGGATATTCCAGGTAAGGGGAGTAGCAGCAAAGGTACAGGGGCATGAAACCACCTCAAACTATTTGGGAATGTTTGAGTAAAATTGCATCATACATCCGTAGCATTCTACTATACTTAGTTACTTGTCTGTCCCTCTTACTAGATAGAAGCTCCTTGAGGTGGGGAGTCTTTCTTCATTATTTTTGTATCATAGAGCCCAGAAAGGTAAACAGCAAGCAAGGGATAACAAAGTTTGTTGAATGAATGAAAAAGGGTAAGTTCTAGAAGCAGCTGAGAGACCCAGTCAGGGAGATGGAGGGGAAGCTGTGTGGATTAAAAAAGGAAAAGACCATGAGGTAGAGGTAGATGAAAAGGGGTATGAAAGCAGGGGCAAAAAAAGGGTCAGTAGAACCTGGGCCAAGTTAAGGGAAGAGGCAAAATAGAGCCTGGCCTTGGGACCCAGGACCAAACACGTAGGAGGATATTATGAGATATTTTAAAGGAACTTACAGTCCTAATTGGTTCGTGCTGAGTCATACTCACAAAACCCTGGGCTAGTAGAGTATCAGCCACAGGTGTGATGTGAGCCAACAGAAGGACAAGTCTGTGTGCCCTATTGACTCCAGTCCAACCCAGAATCTGGGTTTTACATCACACTCTGCATGAGTGAATTGGGAGGATTTGATCTAGCTCCAGGCCCACTATCTCTTAGAGTGTGGACAGACTGGAGTGTGTCCAGAGAGCAGGTCCATAGTGAGGAAAGATTCATAAGTCACTTATAGGAAAAGGGGTCTCAAAAAACTGAAGACATTTTACCTAGAAAAGATGAATTTAAATGGTGACATAATAATGATTTTCACTCATATAAAAGGAATTAGACATGTTTCTCTTATTCTTGGGGATGAAAGATAACAGATAAATTTAGGCTCAAATCATTTTACTAATGATACCCTCATAATAATGAGTGCTTTCCACCCTCAACCTCAGGTGTGGCCTCCCTGGTTCTGGTACTTGTGGCCACTGGGCAGGACCTTTGGAGCCACTCTGTACCCAGGAGCTGGCCTACTACAGAGGGAAACATATACTCAGGTCATGGCAGTGAGAGGAGTGGTGTTTAATATTGCCTCTGGAAAGGAGTTTTATGGAAGAGACTTCCCTACAGTGCCTTGACCAGCCAGGATTCCACCAGATAGGTGAGCAAGACATGCTTGGATCTTATAGATATCATCCATGACACTACAGATCTCATGGCTGAGGAGCTGGAGTATTCACCAAAGTGTACAGAACCAAATATCATTAGCTATACAGCCTGAAGAATTATTAACAAGGATGACAGCCCCATCCTGGACTTCAGGCCTGAAGACCAGCCCCATTTTGACATAAAGGAAAAATTCTGACCTTCCATCCGAAGGAGCAGGTTTTTTTTAGAAAGATGGTCAGGGAGATACTCAGGTGCTAAATCTGCAAAATAGGTTGGCCAAAGCCTCTGAATCACCTGCATCTGAAGAAACAGATGTTTAACCTGAGGAGAAGATGCCAAGAACTAGATGTGTTCAAGTAAAAGCCTGACACCTACCTGGTAGAAATGTTTTTAAATTTCTGCCTGAGGAGGTGACCAGCAAGGTGGCCTCAAAGTCCCCTTCCCAACTTGAGAATTTGAATTCCAAGTACCCAAAGTCTAAGTACCTGAGGGGCCAAACTCTCCATCACCCTGGGAAATATTCTGCAGGAGAAAAACGTTACACTGGCCTCTTGAGGATTAACAATAGTTGAATAACTAGACAACTTTGTCCACTTTTTGATTTGTAGGCATGTGCTCAGGTCTAACTAACTGAAGGCAAAACCTTCAGCCTCTGAATACCTGTGTCCCTTCTCTGTAGAAATGGAACATGTTGCTAGTCCTTTCCAAATCTGAAAAGGCCCCAGTGGTTTAACTGGTTTATCTTTGATTAGGTCTGACCCAGCTGCTTTTGAGTCTCGACTAGAGAAGCGCAGTGAGTTTCGGAAGCAGCCCTTGGGGCACTCCAGGCAAGGTGATTTCATCAAATGTGTGGAACAGAAGGTAAGACCTGTCCCTTTTGGGGTAATTGGCTCACCAGTGCTCTCCACCCTCAACCCCAACCTGTATCCTGGAATTGGTCTCATGAATGGGTCAGCTGGATGAACGGAACAGAGCCTCTCTCTACTCAGCTCAGGAAATTGGGATTTGACATTGTATTTTGAAATGAGAGATGTTTCTTTTACTTGGAGAAAAACTTATTTTTGCTTTGGGTATCCTAAGTTTTAAGCGAATCCACCCATTCTTTTAATAAGTGATTAATTAAAATTAGAGCAGTAGTTGGTGGGTTAATCATTGTAAGGTTGGGGAATAAATTCAACCTTCTATGACAAACATAATTTATAGCTTTATGTGAACAACTCTACTACAAATACTTTAACAAATGTAATTTACCATATTAACGTATAGTGCCAATAATAGTTCTTTACTGTATTATCAACTTTCAATATTATATGGGAAAGCTCTTTGCCCATTTTTATAGACAGATTTAGAAATTCAACTTTATGATAAGATGCAGAATAAGATTTCATTATATTATGGCAACTCTTAGGGTAAATATTTACTTACAGTCTTTCTTATCTAGTTACTCAGAGGAAGGCTGATTAATGGCTAATCACTCCATTTCCAAAGCCTCATCTTTTCTTTGAGTCATTGGTTTCTGTCACATGAGACCCAACATCCTCTTTCGCAATAATTTTTTATTAAAAATGTTCCCTTTTCTACCCTGAAATAAAATGTAGAAAATATAATCCACCTTCACACACACAGTTTCAGAGGGGAAAATATCAATATAGTGCCCTATGAAATAAAGGAAAGTATTTTTAAATAAAATTCACATTTTAATATGTGAATTCTTGGGCACAACTGTGACCTAATGCAGTCATCATATGCTTTCACCTATATGTGAAATCACTGAATAATATAAGCAGCAAAAGCTGACTGGTGCAGGGGAATTATGTTGGTAATTATAAAAACTTCCAAACTATGATCAGTGTTATAATCAGTGACCCTCATAGATTCCACAATATAGTCTTTTTGGGGGTAAATAGTAATCGCGTTTCTGAAAAATTTAGTGTTTATTAAAGCCGTGCTTGAAAATAAATAAATAAATAAATAAATAAATAAATAAATAAATAAAGAGAAAGAAAAGTTCCAGGGTTCTTTTCCCAGCCTTACAAAGGGTTCAGCATTCTGGAGAGATAGGCTGCGTGTAGATGATTAAGAAGGAGTCCAAGAACAAAAGATAAATTTTGAAAGGCATTGGGGGTCAGAGGAGCTTCAGCTAAAAGGAACTGAAGATTTTTTCCTTGACCAAGGACCCTTGCTTTTATTCAACACAATTTATCCTAAGGCAAGGTAGAAATATACATTTCAAAGGGTATTGTCAGATTGATGAATAGCCAACAGCTGTTCAGGTGTTTGGCCAATAGGAGGCAATAAAATGCCCTGAGCTGTCTGACAGTTAACAATCCTATTCAGGTTTGGGGGGAAGTGCCATTTAGCCGTTTTCAACAGGTAAATTACATATGTGGCTCACCCTTATTGAGCCACCCAAGTCCCATCAACCTTTTGATGGAACCCTTGTAATGATTTCATGCTGAAATTGATTCTCGGCAGAAAGAGGAAAGGAAATAAAACAGTTAGATTTCAGGTCCAGGTAATGGAAGGAAGGAAAAGAAGGAAGGTAAAAAGGAGGGAGAGTAGAGGGGGAGGAAGAGATGGAGGGAGAGAGGGAGGGAAGGAAGGAAGAAAGGAAGCGAGGGAAGGAGGGAGGGAAGGAGGGAGGGAGGAAGGGAAGAATGATGGGTGGGAAGGAGGAAAGGAAGGAAACAGAGTTAGATTTTAGGCCCAGGTCTATAAAAAAGGTGTTTTACTTACAAGGATGTCTAGCTAGACATTGAGAAGTTGTCCAGGATGAGGGAAAGTGCTTCATTAACTCATCTGTAAAATTGCAGCTCATTTAGCATCCCTGTCCCTCCATAAATGCAGATGTCACCATCCAGTCAATTATTGTGCTAAAAAAGTTCTCTCTACAGATTTCAAAAGCATCCATAGGGGAGTAGTAATGTACTCATTTAAATTTCTTATTAAGTGCTCTTAAGACTTGGGCACATAGTTTCAATTGTAATTTTAATTACTATATTTCACTGTTTTTTAAGTTCACATTTTTTTCACATTTTAATATCTTTGAAATTGCCTTAAAATTGATAATGAAATATAAGTACAGTGTTATTGTTTAATTGGCATCATTTTCTTATACATCATAAAATAATGGTGCTTCTTAAAATCTGTGGTGTTCTTGATTAGATAAATTGCAGTAAGTTTAAATTTTTTATTTCTGTAAATATGGAAATAAATGAATTGGAGAGACATTGTTGAAAAAGAATATACCAGGCTTAGTCATTGAAAAGTGAAGGCAGTGTGCAAATGGAGGGTTTTGTTTCTTTTGTTTTCACAATACACCTAAAGGTGAGTGGTAAGAAAATGAAATCGCTTCTCTTTGGTATGCTGTCAGTGTATAGGATCTGACCAAAAAGGTCAGGGTGTATCCAAATAGATTTTCCATTCTTTTGTCTAACTTGTGGTTATGAGTTCTATGGGTATAATTTAAGTAAGGTTTAGATATATTAAAGCACAGAATAATGAAAGGCAGGTTTTTATGAAGAAAGTGTTTTTCACCTTCAAATCCCAGATGTAGCTTGTACTCCTTCCCTCTGAAAGGCTTGATCTTGAACTGAGAAACTGAGTGGAAGACTCATTCAGAATAACCCATGCCCACTACCAGAAACAATCAAAATAGGATTTCATGATTCTGGCCTTTATCAGAGATAGTGGATTAAAAGAGAAAATAATCACCTGCAGTTGTTTTTGGCTTTTTTTTTTTTTTTTTTAATATATTTTATTGATTTTACACAGAAAGAAATTGAGAGGGAAAGAGAGTTAGAAACATCAATGAGAGAGAAACATCGACCAGCCGCCTCCTGCACACCCCCCACAGGGGATGTGCCCGCAACCAAGGCACATGCCCTTGGCCGGAATCGAACCTGGGACCCCTCAGTCTGCAGGCCGACGCTCCATCCACTGAGCCAAACCCGTCCCGGCTGTTTTTGGCTTTTTTTGAGGGGAAGTCTAATTTGATGGAAGGAATATTAAGACTGAATACTAAAAAGACTTTACAGTTTGCTGAGGATGTCTGCCATCAGAAGTGCTGTCACAGATAAGAAACAGCCTAGGAAAATAGATCTTTCCATTCCTTGCCTCCTCTATGGCTCGCTGTGGAGCAGAACATAGAAAACCCAACCAGCCCTCAATCTGGGAAGGAGCCCCTTATATCCATAAAAATAAGGATGCACTCTCTGTACTAGTAAATGCTGTATCTCATCTCTGTATCTCAGAAGCTATGTTTAAAAAAAAGTTCTCACAAACAACTCTTAAGAACAGTATGTACAGTTACTCTATGGAGTCGAGAGAGGTAAGTTCTTAGGTACAAAATTACTAAATGAGATACAGGGCACCTCAGTGGTCTTTTTCTGAGTGAAGTATAGATTCATGTCTTGTCTATCATATTTTAGGAAAACACTTTGGGGAAACAGCCTATGAGCAGAGGATTCACTAAGGACAAGGTAGGTTTCTAATTAAATACCCAGTTTTGAACATGTAACATCTATAATAATAAAAATGTAATGTGCAAATTAGACTGGACAGCCAAACAACCTTCCGGACATCCTTCGGGATGACCTTCCAGACAAAGCTGGGGCGGCGAGGGTCGAGGCAAGCCACCACAGCTGTGCGGGCCAAGCCCCTTGCACGAATTGTGTGCATCAGGCCTCTAGTCTATAATAAGAGACTGCAGATATGAACAGGTTTACTGTGGTTCAGTGATTTTGTGATTTACCAACTGTGGTGATGAGAACTATTCTATGAATTTTTGTGTCCTTGATGTGACACCTATCATAGTGTGGATCCTGGGGATGTTATAGGAAATATAGTGATACCCTTTTTCCCCATAGGAATATGTTTTTAAAAATCCAATAAGAACATGTTTACTCTGTCATTTACTTGCAATTAAGGAGCAACCCCTGGCAGAATGGCAATTAAATTAAAGATAAGCAAACTTTCTCCTCTTACCAGTTGCAAAGTGCTGCAGTGCTCGTTGTGAGGGTGAAGGATTTAGAAAGTACCTGTACCCCCCAAGACTAGAACTGCAAAAACCTGCCCGGGCTTGGAGACTCACTTCTTTGCAAATAGGAGTTTTCTTACACTCTTCTCTACTTATTGAGGATCTGGTACACTATACTGTCATGTTGCTTCCCACAAAGCTTACAGATAAAGTTAAGCTGCTTTGTTTTTTAAATTGTGATGTTAATTTCCTTTTGTTTTCCCTTTCAGACTCTCAGTTCAATCTTTAACATTGAGATGGTGAAAGACAAAACTGCAGAAGAAATAAAGCAGGTATTGAATGAAAATGGGTGGATGTACTTTATGAAACTGTGTGCTCTGTGAACCAAATCTGAAAGTAGAAAGGACCATAGATTTCCTGACACCTCTTTCTAGCCAAAAGGAAAAGTGGCCATGGATAGAAAAGTGATGAATTACATGAAAAATAGTGGCATAAGAAAACTTATCTTTCTTGGTCTCACTTCTGCACATTTAATCAACTCACATTTCCCCTTTTCTCTTCATTCCTATTGTCCACATCTTATTTTAAATCATTGCTGCCCTATACCTGGATTACTGTACTACCTTTCTAAATAAGTTTTCCTGCTCTTATTTCTCCCACACCTCCTACCATATCCTCATCAGTTGAATCCTCTTAAAGTTCTGCTCTGGAGAAGCATAAAATATTGATTAAGAACTAAGACTCTAGAACCAAGCTGCCTATTTTAAATCCTAGCTCTGCCCACTTACTAGCTGAATGACTTGGATAAGTTAGTTAGTCCCTTGGAGCCTTAGTTTCCCTATCTGTAAAGTGTAATTTCCCAAATAACTCTATAAGGAGATAGTAATAGTACTTACTTTATAGAGTTATTTGCGAAATTAAATGAGTTAATATTTGTAAAGCACTTTAAGTAGTTCCTGGCACAGAGTAAATGCTATATTTGTGTTTTATTTTTTTAAATTTATTTTTAAATATATTTTCATTGATTTCAGAGAGGAAGGGAGAGGGAGAGAGTGATAGAAACATCACTGATGGTAAAGAATCACTGATCAGCTGCTTCCTGCATGCCCCACACTGGAGATTGAGCCCTTAACACAGTAATGTGCCCTGACCAGGAATTGAACCATGACCTTCTGGTTCAGAGCTCTACACTCGACCACTGAGCCACACCAGCTGGGCCTTCAAAGCACTCTTGGGATCTGTCCTGCCTCTGGTTATTTCACTTTTATTTAAATGTTCATGTTTATGATTCTTTTCTCTAATCCTATATTATTATAATAAATAGGTAATATGCAAATTGACTGTCACTCCAACACACAAGATGGCTACCCTGTGTGGACACAAGATGACTACCACAAGATGGCCAGGAGGGGAGGGCAATTATGGGCAATCAGTCCAGCAGGGAAGGGAAGTTGGGAGGGACAAGACCTGCAAGTTGGGGGTGATCAGGCCAGCAGGGGAGAACAATTAGGGGTGACTGGGCCGGCAGAGGAAGGCAGTTGAGGGGGACCAGGCCTGCAGGGGAGAGTAGTTAGGGGTGACTGGGCCAGCAGAGAATGGCGGTTGGGGGAGACCAGGTCTACAAGAGAGGGCAGTTTGGGGTGACCAGATTTGCAGGGGAGGGCAGTTGGGGGCAACCAGGCCTGCAGGGAAGGGCAGTTGGGGGTGACCAGGCCTGCAGGGGAGGGCAGTTGGGGGCAACCAGGCCTGCAGGGAAGGGAGGTTGGGGGGGATCAGACCTGCAGGGGAGGGCAGTTAGGTGTAACAGGCCTGCTGGGGAGGGCAGTTGGGGGCAACTAGGCCTGCAGGGGAGGGAGGTTGGGGTGGACCAGACCTGAAGGGAAGGGCAGTTGGGAGTGTCCAGGCCTGCTGGGGAGGGCAGTTGGAGGTGACCAGGCCTGCAGGGAAGGGCAGTTAGGGACAATCAAGCTGGCAGGGGAGCTGTTAGGCATCGATCAGGCTGGCAGGGGAGTGGTTTGGGGGTGATCAGGCTGGCAGGCAGAAATGGTTAGAGGCAATCAGACAGGCAGGCAGGTGAACAATTGGGAGCCAGCAGTCCTGGAATGTGAGAGGGATGTCTGACTGCCTGTTTAAATGGGCAGTCGGACATCCCTTAAGGGGTCCCAGATTGGAGAGGGTGCAGGCTGGACTGAGGGACACACACCTCCCCCCAACCCTGTGCACAAATTTAGTGCACTGGGCCTCTAGATAGATTATAATATGCTATTTATTGGCATTCCTTATAGTTCCATGAGTTATGTTTTAGATACATTGAGAGAATCAGAATAATAAAAACAGTATATGTGTCAGATACTGTTCATGTTTCATATGCATATTTCATTAGCTACTTTATAAAGTAGGTGCTATAATTCCAAATTTACACTGAGGAAACTGTAGCTTAATGAGATTAAGTAAGTTAGTAAGTGGTAGAGCTAGAGTTATTTGGGGAATTGAACATGAGACTCAAACCCATATCCATTTCACTCTGTATCGTATTCCTTTATAGGAAGTTGTGCCAATTGCCATGGTTTCTTTTGGGTGCTACATCATTCATTTTCAGCAAACATTTATTGCATACCTATTAAATGTCAGTCTCTGTGCCAGACATAGAAATAAATGAGAGAATCCCCTATTCTCAGGGAGTTTTAACCTTATGGAAGGATAGACACAGAAATAAGGACAGTACAGGATTTTAACCTCTGTTAATAGAGGCTTATGCAGAGTCTCAAGGAGACCTCAAACTGACTTTGGGAAGAAGTGCCAATGGAAAGTAGACACCAACTATGTCCTGTAGTGGTGAGAGAAGCTAGTCCTGAGACTCCTTATCATATGACAAATATCATTTAGACTTATAATTTTATATACAAATTTGTGTTTGTTAAAATAATTTTGAGTGACCAAAGTCAACTATGTTAGGAATTATCTATCAATCTCATGTATTTCAGTGTTGATTCATAAACTAACTACTAATGTAAATTAAATAAAAAATACTATCCTTAAAATGAGAAGACGGTGTTCTGACATGAAAAATAAAAGCAAAGCAACCTTAGGCTGCACTGATAGAGTGATTTGCCCAAGTCCTAGGAAGTAACAGTCCTTCTGTGCTCTGTGTTGGCTAGATCACACTTTGATTATATAGTATCTTAGTTGGGAATTAGTAACATTCCCAATTTTAATGGGAATGTTAATGAAGAGCAGCTTTAAATGAGGGTGGTCCATTCTTCAACACCAGTTCAGATGTCACTTTGGCTATGATGTCTTCCTCTGCTCCTACGCCTTTGCTAATGTTATCATTCTCTGCTTGGAATGTTCTCTTATCTTCTTCCTTACCTCTATGTCTTCCCAGACCCCTGTTCACCTGGCTAACTCCTGATCATTTTTTAAGATACAGCTCAAGTGTCCTCTCCTCTGGCACTCATTCCCTAACTTGGGTTAAGGGCTATTTGTTGCCCTCACAGCACTTTGGCTCTGGGTTGCATTGTAATTCTGTTTGCTAAGCACAAACCTAAATTATTTCAGCTCATCTTCACAACAGTCCTGTGAGGGTGATACTATTGCTGTTTTACTGATGGTTATATAGATATTATTTTGTTATTTTTCAGTAACTTGCCTAAAGTAGCATAGCTAGCAAATGATTGAAGCTGGGGTTTGTATCCAGACCTGCCTGACTCTAAACTCTGGGTTTTGAGTGACTAATGTCCTACTTTCTAAGAAGGCCCACAGTTGGCTAGGGCAGTGGTTGGCAAACTGCAGCTCGCGAGCCACATGCGGCTCTTTGGCCCTTGAGTGTGGCTCTTTCACAAAATACCACATGCGGGCATGCACGTACAGTGCGATTGAAACTTCGTGGCCTATGCGCAGAAGTCGGTTTTCAGCTCTCAAAAGAAATTTCAATCATTGTACCGTTGATATTTTGCTCTGTTGACTAATGAGTTTGCCCACCACTGGACTAGGGAGTTTGGGTTTGGGGAAGGAAGAGAGAAGATATGAAAATGGAAAAAAAAAAAAAGAGCTTGTCTATTATATACAAGGCACGTCTTGAGAGAAATGATTAACAAGGTCATATACTCCATTTCTCTGACAGGAATTTGTTATTAAGAGTTACAGTTTAATTATCTAGAAGAGTAGATGGTATTAAATCTTTTTGTAATCATATACTAGAAATAAAAGAATTACTTTGGGTTTTCCTCTCTGTTATCAAATTGTATGTTACTGTGAGTAATGAAAGCTGTCATCATTCCTTGGTGCAGGTTGAAAAGATTACCCACATGTCATAGACATACTCTTTTTTTTGTACAGATTTGGCAGCAGTATTTTGCAGCAAAAGATACAGTCTACGCAGTTATTCCTGTAAGTAGTTTGGAGGGGAAATGAAAGTGTTATAGCATGAAGGTCAGGTCTCTAACCTTAGCAGGCAGTTGCCTTTACTTTTCCTATGTTTATTGCCTCTTGAGAACTTACACTTATAGCTCTGAGGGTTTTTATTATGCCCTGAGTACCAAAGATTGGAAGCTCCATATGGTATATTTATAGCTCTTGTTTTCCCATATTCTGGTTTAGAAATGTCTCTTTGAGTCAAGTCTCTGACCAGGGAGTGTGGTGTAAGTTCATGTTGCTGAGCAATTTCCAAGTCTTTTATTTCTTTCTAGTGTTTCCCAAGCCATTGGAATTTAACATAGGGCCTCTAGCATAGGTTTCTTCCTTTCTTGTGAGCTGCCTTGGAGCCTCTTCCTAATCTTTTTCTGACATTTCCTCCTACCAAGTGGCATTTTCTTATGGGGTGTTTAATTTCTTTCCTTCCTAAAATTGCTGTCATAGAGATAGTTACTCTCTGGTCACTGCTTGACCATGAAGCATCATTTGATGTACTGGGGTATCAGCTAGTTCTTTAATTGTTTTTCTTTCCAGAAGAGGAAATAGCCTAGGTTAAGTTTATATCAAGCAATATACACCAAGTTTACATGTGTAATTGTAAGATTAAAGAGAAAAACTTATAAATGGAAAATAAAGCCTGGCCTTTTGGTTGTTGTAAGAGTATTGCTATTTTTTTTCTACCTCTTATACATGTATACCCTTCCCCTTCAAAAGTTCAAAAGCCAAGGAATCTGTACTTCTATGATATTTAGGTCTCTGATACTGGCTTGCTGTTTGGAACTTTTTAAGCCTTCCCTCAGACAGACTTAGTGACCTGATGTCTCAGATCACTAATATCCTTCCTTTTTTAAGAGCAGAGTTCCCTGGAGAGTTTGGAGCATTTAGAGTATACACTGTTCACAGCACATTCTGATACTGACCAGCAAAGAATACATCTGGTTTTTCCTCTCTGTCATAAGAGGCATTTGTAAATGATGAAACTTGTAGATTGTTTTAGTTGTATTTTAGTTCTGGAGTTCAGTCTTGGTGAATTAAGTGTCGTAGCTTTTTATGGGGTTTTATTTGTTTGTTTGTTTGTTTGTGACTTTTAGTCCTTTCTAACCTACAGGAAGAGAAGTTTGATTTGATCTGGAACCGGGCTCAGTCCTGTCCAACAGTAAGTTCTGAATTGCTTATCATTGTTGAAAATAAGGATGTTTTCTAACCAATCTCTTCATGCTCCATGCTATTTTATGTTATAGTTCTGTTTACTTAAGAAAGATGCTTATATGTTGATTGTACTGTTTAGCCTTATGAAATCATGTGAGTTCGGCACAGTAAGTCTCTGGCTTTTTCTGAGTCCTTTCTGATCGGTTCTCAATCAACAGTATAAGTAAATGTTAGACATAGAACCTGAGACCATAATATTTTCAACTTCCCTTAAGTGTCTGTTTTATTATCAATTTTCTTTTCAGTTTTGGCTATGCTATCTTGATTAGATGTAGCTAAAAGGAATTATGAGATTATTGCTGTAGTAATGAACTACCAGAAGGCCTAAGGGAAGGGAATAGGAAAGGTGGGGCAGCTGACTTGGTGTTGATAATCATTTCTAGGATTCTAAAAAAATTTTTCCAAACATTGCCAAGAGAAAATAAAAAAAAACACCTTGAAGTAAATGAGAGATATATCATGTTCATGGACTGGATGACTCCATATTATTGTCATTTTTCCACAAATTGGTCTATAGAATATAATCCCAATCAAAAGATCAATAGGTCTTTCTTTTAAAGAAGTTGACAAGTTGATTTAAAAAATTTATTTGGGTATCCAAAGGACATAGAATAACAAAACAATTTTGAAACAGAACAAAGTTAGTGGACTAACATTATCTTATGAAGACATTATAAGCTGTAGTTATGAATACAGTATGATATTGGCATAAAAATAGACCTATAAATCAATGGAACAGAGTAGAGAATCCAGAAATAGACCAACATATATGTGGTCACTTGTTTTTCAGCAAAGTGACCATGGTAATTAAATGGGGGAAAGGACAATCTTATTCTAACCTCACCCCATAGTCAACAATTAACTCAAAGTAGAATCTTACTGATCTTGGGTTTAGCAAAGATTTCTTAAATATATCATAAAAAGCACAAATTATTTAAAAAATTGATAAGTTAATTTCATTAAAATTTTCAATTCTATACTCATGTTCATAGCATCATTAGTTGTAATAGCCAAAAGGTGGAAGTAGCCCAAGTTGATAAATGAGTGGATAAATAAAATGTAATGTGTGTGTGTATAAAATAGAATATTATTCAGTTTTTAAAAAGGAAGGATATTCTGATACATGCTACAACATGGATGAACTTTGAAGATATTATGCTAAGTGAAATAAGCCAGTCACAAAAAGAAAATACTATATGATTCCACATATGAGATACTTAGTGTAGTCAAATTTATAGACAAAGTAGAATGCAGTTGCTAGGGACTGGTGTGAAAATGGATAGGGAATTATTGTTTAATGAATATAGCATTTCAGCTTGAGAAGATTTAAGAAAGTTCTGGAGATGAGTGATAGTAATGGTTATTACAACATTGTGAATGTACTTAATGATATTTAATTGTACACTTAAAAATAATTAAAATGATAACTTTCGTGTAATGTTATTTTACCACAATAAAAAATTGAAATTTTCTAATTCTCAAAAGTTCTTGTTATCAAAATGAAAAGATAAGCCACAGACTGGGAGAAAATATTTGCAAGACATATATTGACAAATGACTGGTATCCAGAATATATTAAAAACTCTTACAACTTAATAAGAGGACAGGCCACCCAATTACAAATGGGCAAATGATTCAGACAGTTGACAAATGAAGTAGAATGTCAGATAAGCACCTAAAAAAGTGCTCAACATCATTAGCCATAATGGGACTGCAAATTAAAGCCACAGTAAGATACCACTAATGTGACTAAAATTAAAAAGACTGATCATACCAAGTGTTGGTGAGGATATGGAACTCTCATGTATTCTTGATGAAAATGTAAAATGATACAACCACTTTGAAAACAGTGTGGCAGTTTCTATAAAAGGTAAGCATGTACTACCCACCCATTCTACTTCTAGGTATTTTCCCAAGAGAACTGAAAGCACATGTACATTCAATGACTGTACACAAATGTTCATAGTAGCTTTATTTGTAATGACAAAATACTGAAAATATCCAAATCTACCACAGTTGAATGAATAAAAGAATTGTGGTGTGTGTACATGTACACAATGGAATAATATTCACGAATTAGAAGGAATGTACTATTGATATATACAACAACATGGATAATTATGGAGAGAAGCCAAACCAAAAAAGAAGTATAGGTTGAGTGATTGCTTAGGGAATGTTGAGGAAAAGGTATGAATTACAAAGGGACTTTTTGGAGAAGATGTTCATTATGTTGTCCAAGGGACCAGCTGTTAGATAGGCATTGAGGTTATCTCATCTATAGTAATAATAGAGGAATATACAAATTGTCCAGGATGCATCATAGTAACCGTAATGACTGAACATCAGGCTACGTGGGGCAACCAGGCTGACAGAGGGGCTAGTGAGGGACAACCAAACGACTGAACTGCTGACTATGTGGGGTGACCAGGTCAGCAGGGGGGTGGGGGCAGCTGAGGATGACCAGACTGGTGGGGGGAAGGAGGTTGGGCAGGGGGCAACCAGGTTGGCAGGGGTGCAGTTGGCGACCAGGCTGGCGGGGGGAGGGGGGCGGGGGAGCAGTAAGGGGCAACCAGGCAGGAAGGCAGGCAGGTGAGCAGTTAGGAGCCAGCAGTCCCGCATTGCGAGAGGGATGTCACAGATTGGAGAGGGTGCAGGCTGGGCGGAGGGCCCCCACGCCATGCATGAATTTCATGCACCAGGCCTCTAGTTTAATAATAAAGAAACAGCTTGTGTTGTTGGCAATAATGAGACAGTTTCATGACTGATGCATATTGGATTGATTATGCTTTCTGTTCTGGCATCATTCTCTCCTCCACCACTCATCCCCAATTCTAAACATCTCAAGCATAAAACTAATTATCTCTTGGTGTTTAGAACTACAATATTAGCCTCAGATGATAAAGTATAAAGTGATTATAGTAAATGGAACAAAAATTAATTTAGCAGCATTAGGAAGTTTATAAAGTGAAAAAAATCCAAATGTTTATCAATGGAAGAATAGATAAATTGTGGTAAATTTCTATAGTAGAATTCCATACAACAGTGAAAATTAATGAATTAGAGTTATAGTTATCAACTTGGATAAATCTTAGAAATGAAAAAGCAAGTTGCAAAAGTTTATACATAGTTTGATATGATTTATGTTCAAAGCGTGCAAACGGCACTGTTCCTTGTTTATGGATATGCACATACACATTAAAAGTATTAAAACTTGATTTGGTAACTGCTATGCCATTTTGTTTTTAAATATATGTCCATGATGAAGGATTCATTGCCTATTGAAAGGGAATGGCAGTCAGCAAATGCAGGATAGGTGTTACTCAGCAGTGGGATTGGAATGGGTTACAGGGAGCTTCAGTTGGATATCTAATGCTTCTTTCTTGGGTGTGTTGGAAAGTGTATATACATGCCTAAATGTTATATTATTATGGATGAATTTCATAATTTCAAAAAAATGTTTTCAACCAAAATATGGAATAAATGGAGTGAATGATACAGGTGGTTGGACATAGAGGGAATGATTTTATTTATTCATCTACCTCCTTGTGTATTTGTTTCCCACAGTTTCTTTGTGCACTACCAAGAAGGGAAGGCTATGAGTTCTTTGTAGGACAGTGGTCAGGCACTGAACTTCACTTCACTGCACTTATAAATATCCAGGTAGGTGGCTTCTGCTCATCTGCTAGAGGAAAGAGGCCTACCCCTTTGTGGGATCCTAAGCCCTTGCTGAGGCTTGAGAACACAGAATATATACAGACCCCCTAGCAGTATTTGCTGTGGCACTGATGAATTTGTCATACTTGATATGTTGGGCTAGCTTTCCAGGCCCTATACAATACCTAGAAATTGGAAAAGAGCCCAAAACATGTTCTCTGACTACTTCGGGCTCTCTCCTGTGTCTTTCCCAGATCTCTAAAACATTTACTGCATGTGCCTCATTTAACAAACATGGGTAAGTTATAATGGTAGTCTGAAGGCAGGCTCCATGTCTTATTTGAGTTTTATTAATCAAGTCAGTCCTTCCCAAGATGTTATGTAGTAGTTTCCATTCCATAGATGTTTTTTGGTTTGCTTTCCAACTCTTTTTAAAAATTCCCAAATATTAGATTTAGTTTGATCCAAGCATTTGAAGCTTTTTTTAAATATGTTTTTATTGATTTTTAATATGTTTTAATATGTTTTTATTGTTTTATTAATATGTTTTAAACATTTAATATGTTTTTTTAATATGTTTTTTTTTTAATATGTTTTAGAGAGGAAGGGAGAGGGAAAGAGAGATAGACACATCAACGATGAGAATCATTGATTGGCTGCCTCCTACACACCCGCACTGGGGATCGAGCCTACAACCTAGGCATGTGCCCCTACCAGGAATTGAACCATGGCTTCCTGGTTCATAGGTCGATTCTCAACCACTGAGCTATACTAGCTGGGCTGACGCTTTTAAAATAAGTCAGTATTTCATATTAGATCATAACTAAGATTGACATTCTATATTTAGAGGCCAAATCTGACAAAAACAAGCATATATGATTTTGAAGTTGGGGTAAAGAGAGTGCAAAATAGAATGAGGGGGCAGCTTTCACTTTGTTATTTTTAAATTCTTCTAACAATCATTTTTTGGGCACATAAGTATAATGACCAACATTTAATATACTTAGTATGTTATGTACCATTATCGTTTAGTCCTCACAATTATTCTATGAGATATTATTTCTGTTTATTCATTGCTAGTAAGTGGTATAGCTGGGTTTGACTGACTCCAGGTAATTGACTCAATAGTCTGTGAACTTAACCATTATGCTGTTGTGTTGGAAATTATGCTAGAACCTAGGTACCTATGAGCCAAAGTCTCTGCCCTCATGAAGCTCATATTCAAGTATAAGAAAAAAAATCCAGAAATGGAATTATAATCGAAATGACCAGCATAGTAGAAGTATGTTCAAGAGAACTGAGAGGCTAACCTATTAAAAGTATCCTAGCAATACTTAGATATTGATAATTAAAAGGACTCTTGTTGGAATTTTAGAGAGGAAACCCAGAGATCTTTTTTGAATGTACAGTCCTCCAACACTATATGGGGGCTTTAGCTTTGAACCCAGCTTCTCTTCCTACTCTGGATTAAGGTCTGATTACTGTCCTGTTCATTGTTCATGAAATTATGGTATTCTCATGCTTTTCTACCTACCTCCCACTCAGCTTTTATTTTAAAACTGCACATTGCAAATCTGGCCCATGTGCCAACTCTCCAGCTGTTTGCAACAGCTTAAAAGAGCTCAGTCTTCAGAGCCAGCCAAGGGGAGTAGATTTCAGCTGTGAAATGCACTAGTCCATAAAAGTGGCAATTACATAGGCATATTGCTTTTTTTAGAACTTTATTTGGTAGTTGCTTGTGCCATTTTGTTTTTAAATATATGGCTATGATGAAGGATTCGCTGCCTGTAGTAAACATTTCCTGGGGAAAGAGCTAAACATTTTTCAGTTAAAGACACAAATAATGCTGTGCAAACTGTCACTTCACCGTGCCTTGGCAAGCCTAACCATCCCCCCACTCACCAGTCCTCAGACTCACTAGACACCCAAGGGGCTGGAAAGAGCCAGAATTTCCTCCAGACTCTCTCTTACTCCGAAATTGCAGTTTTGTTGTGGTGATACCTTATTGTGCCTTGATAAGTGTTCTTTCTTACAGACCCGAGGGGAAGCTGCGGCCAGCCAGCTGATTTTATATCACTACCCTGAACTTAAGGAAGAAAAGGGCATAGTACTGATGACAGCAGAAATGGATTCTACATTTCTGGTAAGAATCAGTTGTACCTCTGTGGATTTACCTGGTAGCCCTTGAAAGTAATATTCTTCAGCAAAATTCAGGATAAGCAAAATTTGAGATACCTACATGTATTTATTTCTTACTTAAAGTTGACAATAACAGGTCTTGCTCAATCTCTTCTAAGTTGAAGTTAGTACAGATCCTCAATCACTTCTTCACAATTTTCAAATCCAAACGCTCTGAAAGCATTCTGCACCTTTCTAAAATTCTGAATTAAAAACACATCAGGCTCTAGGTTCCCCCCCCCCCTCCTTATTACATAGTTTTTATTTATTTTTTTATTGTTTACAGCATTATATATAGTAATCCATATATCTCCTCCCCCCCCCCCCCCATTGACTTTCCCCCAGCCTCCCCTTCCCCCTGTCTTGTGTCCATTACGCCCTAGGGGTTTTAGGTAAGAAACTGGACACGTAAATGGCTTCTTAAGAGTAGGGAAGAGTTACAAGTCTAGAACAGTGCTCGATCTTTTATCTTCCACATTGTTTGCACACACATTCCTCACACATAGTGATTTCCCTTGCCCCTTTTCCATTCCCTGGATAGAGCATCGACCATATGCCCATAGGTAATGATTTCATTGTGTTTGTTCTCCCCACGTGTCTAGGAACAGGAGCAGTTTTATCATTACCTGAACAGCCTGTTTGTCTAACCTTTACTCATTTTAATCTCATTTATCTGATGGCATTTAAGTTCAGGATGTCCTCAAGATACTGGCCACTCTCATGCCTCTTTTCCATGAGATTTTTCATTGCAACGCCCACTTATATTTCCCTTCTCTCTTACCAGCTGCATACAGGGAAGGAAGTGGTATAAGTTCCTTGGCTAATATTGGCACTTGGCTAGTATTTCAGCTGTATTACAATAGCAGTGAGTCCCAAGTCTTGGGCACAGTTGGGACTCTACTTCCCTGTCCATTATCCCTGAAACTGTTTAGTCCCATTTCTCCTATTCTTACTTCTACCCACCACACTCAACTAGAAGGTACCTAAAACTCTATCCACAAGAATGGAGTTGCCTTTAACTGAGGTAAATGGGATTGTAGAAGGAAAAGATTTGGAAGGAAGATCAGGAGCTCAGTTGTCGGTACATTAAATCTGAGATGCCTATTAGATTTCCAAGTAGTAGGCAGTTAGATGTATGAGCCTGGAGTTCAGAGGAGAGCCCAGCGGAAATGAGGAAGCACCAACAAAAATTACTTAAAAGGAACAATTCAGTGACATAGGCAGAAAACTAAGATAATAGAATGTCCTGGAAGCTGAGATAACATGTTTCAAGAAACAGGAAGTGTTCAGCTGGCCAAATCTCACTTTCTGGTAGGGAAAATGAGATGAGGGCTGAGAATTTAGTGCATTTCACAAAATGGAAGTCATGGGGTACCTTTATAAGGGACATTTCAAACAGCAGTAGGATAAACACATAATGGAGTGCATTTAAGAGAGTATGGAAAGAAGTTAGAGTAAGCATAAACAAGTCTTTGAAAGGGTTTTCTGTGAGGGGAAGGAGAGAATGGGGTAATAGCTGGGGATGGGAGTAGGGAGAAGTGGAAGTGAGAGTGTTTTTTTGTAGTGTTTTAAATATGGGAGAAATAATACTTGTATGCTGATGGAAAGATCCAGTAGGGAGGGAAATATTGGTAATGTGGACAAAGAGGAGTGAAATACTGAAGTAAGATTTTTGAATCGGTAAGTCTGGGAATGAGGAAAATATAAAAACAGGAGAGAGGCCAGGATATAAGGACACAGTTAAATGGATAGAGGTGGTACTAGCCTGCAGAAATTCTTTCTAGTTTGCTTAATGAAAAGAAAAGCCTGTCATTAGTTAGAAGTAAGGATGGAAGAATAGGTGTTGGACATTATAGTGGAAAAGAGAAAGTCTGAAATTATTGTCCTGGACAGGAATCAGCACACTGTAGCCTATGGGCCAAATCCAGTCCACTGTCTGTTTTTAGAAGGCCCATAAGTTAAGAATGTTCTACATCTTTAAATGGTTGGTAGGGGGTAAGGGAGCCTAAAGAAGATGAGTGTTTTCTGACCTGTGAAAAGTATAAAATTCAAATTTCAGTGTCTGTAAAAGAGTTTTATTGGAATACAATAAATAGCCATAGTTATCACTTACTAGTACCTATTAATTGTGGCTATTGTAGCTCTGCAACAAAGAATTGAGTAATTGCAACTAAGACTATAGAACCCATAGAGCCTAAAATAATAACTGCCTATCCCTTTACAGAAAGTGTATGCCTGCCTATGGTCTTGGAAAATGGAAGAGAGAATACCTGTGTGGGTACAGGCACAGAAAGAGAGGGCTGAGAGTTTCATTTAACTAGGGTTATGGTTTAGCCAGGTTGTATAATGAAGTAAAGTAGGAACCCAGAAGTTGAATGTAAGGCAAAGGACTGATTATAATTGTTGGCTATGCAATATAAACTGGATAAAGAGGAAAGTGAAAACAAGGGAGGTTAGAGACAGAATTGTGAGTCCTAGTGGAGTTAAAAGACTTTTGAAGTTGGGAGTGAGCTTAAAAGATAGGAAATAGTAGACCAAGTGTGTTGAGGTGCTTCAAATTGAAATTTGGAGGGGATATAGTTACCAATAATGACAAAGTTTAAGATTTGACCTGAGGAGTAAGTGACATAGAGATTTAAAAGTGCACTCGAGCTCTAACCGGTTTGGCTCAGTAGATAGAGCATCGCCTGCGGACTGAAGGGTCCCGGGTTGGATTCCAGTCAGGGGCATGTAGCTTGGTTGCGGGCACATCCCCTGTGAGAGATGTGCAGGAGGCAGCTGATCCCCAGTAGGAGGTGTGCAGTAGGCAGCTGATCGATGTTTCTCTCTCATTGATGTTTCTAACTCTCTATTCCTCTCTCTTCCTTTCTATAAAAAATAAAATAATATATATATATATATATATATATATATATATATATATATATATATTTTTTTTTTTTTTTTTTTTAAGTGCATTCAAGAGGTCAGAGGAAGTACCCTTCTACTTGGGCATCTTGACTGCCTCACTTTTGTGGTCTCAAAACTGATACACAGTTCCCACCATCATTAAAATTTGCCTCCTGGCCTTATAACATTCCTCAGCGTACCAGACAATAAATACAGGGTGGGGCAAAAGTAGGTTTACCTTGTTCATATGGAAAATAATACAATAATTAATAAATAATACAAGAATAAATTATGTTTTATGTACTCACAACTATAAATCTACTTTTACTCTATATATTTTTAAAATATATTTTATTGATTTTTTACAGAGAGGAAGAGAGAGGGATAGAGAGTTAGAAACATCGATGAGAGAGAATCATCGATCAGCTGCCTCTTGCACACCCCCCACTGGGGGATATGCCCGCAACCAAGGTATATGCCCTTGACCGGAATCGAGCCTGGGACCTTGCAGTTCGCAAGCCGACGCTTTATCCACTGAGCCAAACTGGTTTTGGCTCTACTCTATATTTGCCTTGCATAAATCAACTTGACTGACTGTCACATATAGTATACAGTAAGTCCTCACTTTGTCATTGATAGGTTCTTAGAACTGTGGCAAAACAGTATAACAAAACCAACTTTACCACAGGCAACTTGATATTCACAGCAGTTAAGTTCCTACAATATCTCTCCAGTGTTACAACAAAACAACATTGAATGGATGATATTACTCGAGGAGCTACTGTACAGAAATAGACATGTTAGAAATTACTATAGAGGTGCATGATTCAGAAATGGGAAACCAAGAATGTATAGTAGGTCCTTGGGTTACATCGAAGATCCATTCCTATGGTGTGATGTAAGGCGATTTTCGCTGTAAGTCGGAACCCACCACCTACATAAGTAAGCACCTACGTCACTCACATGGAGCACATACACAGCAGTAATGAAACAATAAAAACAATTTAAAAGAAAGATAACAATTGCTGACCTTTACTTGTGGTGAATAAATAATAAAAAACATAAAGCACATGTATGTATCTACGTTGAAATGACAGGACTTTTTTTTCTTTTATAAATAAGTGGGAGATGGCGATGTAACCACGAAACAATGTAAGTTGAGTCCAACGTAACCGAGGATTGCCTGTAATATAAATATATGGTCACCTGCATAGTCCCACATGATTTTGTACTTTAGGCATAGTATTTCCAAATACAGTAAAGCAGATAAATAGAAATACATGGAAATTAAAGGTTTCTTCTTAAGTAATTAACTTTAATGCTGAAAATTTAGTAGCATATTAGGAAACCTTATCTGGTTCCATATGTCTATCAATAAAAGCTTTAATTGGAATGAAGTAAGTGCTAGGATAAAAACATGCACAGCATTCTGGGGGTGGGGTTCCACGACTCAGAAGGAGGAAGGTGACTTCCTAGAAATGATACCTGTGCTGAACTTTCAAAGATGAGCCAGAATTTTGCCAGGTAAAGAAAGGTGGGAGGGAGAGAGGCATGTTCCAGACAGAGCCAATAGCATAAATAAATATTAGGAGGCATAAAAAGACTTGCGGTATAACAAAGAATTTGGTATCACTGATATATAAGAAAGGATTCGTGAGTTATGTTTAGAGGTTTGGCTTTATCCTGAAGACACAAAAGAATCATTGGAGGAGAGATAATGACCCCAAAAATATATAGGAAGTAAATTGATCATAGCTATGAAAATTAAAAGAGGAGAAATCAGGTTTGTTAATATATCTCCTTATTGAGCAACATGGGGCGTTAATATGTTTATCTTCTCGGATCTTGGAAAGAGGAGGCTACTGCTTCATGTTGAGAATTAAGGAAACAAAAGGCAGGGGGTGAATAATCCTCGAGAGACAGATGCACATAGATAGCTACCTGTATTTTACCTCCCTACCCACCACACTAGTGGTCTTCAAACTAGTAGGAGGAATCCTGGATCCAAACAAAATCTTACTATGTAAATCCTAGGATAAAACAGCTGAAACAGAAGTGCAGGGTCCTGAGGCACCTCTTCAGAGCCCTAGGATTCTGTTGTTGGATCGGCACTATTCTAGAGTGAACACAGCTGAGGTAATCTCTGCCTCCACGATCCTAAGCCTCAAATAAAAATTGGTTGTCAGAGGCCCTTCAGTTCAAGAGCTCAGAAAACAGTGATATCTGCCTAGGATTGTGGCATGCACTTTCTTTAGAAATGGTTTACTCTTAAGGCATGTTTAAGTATAAAAAAAGGTAAAATAAATGAAGCAGAGTTAACAACCTTGATTGATTTTAATTATCTCCCCCCACAGTGTCAGGGTGAAGTGGAGGGAGGGCCAGCCTGGGAGTCCAGAGGTCTGGTCCTGCCTCTGCCACTCTCTAGCCACATGACCTTGGGCCTATCCCTGGACTTCATCTGCTTTGGTTTCCTGGCTTAGTAAATGAGGACTGGGTGATCTCGGAGTCCCCTTCCAGCTCTGAAATTCCATTAATTTGAAAAAACCAGCATTTTGGAAAAAGGCTTTCTTTATATTAAAGATCTAGTCTCAGAGATTAGTGCCTGCTTGTGCTCAGAGATTAATGACCTGAAAACCCACAGGAGAGAATGGAGACAAAGCAGCCTAGGGTATTTATAAACCCATCCTCATCATTCTATAATTAGACATAGCACACTCCTGACAGTTTTAAGGGGAATTTTCCATTATCCTTTGGGGTTAGCTTTGGCCATAGAAACACAATGATAATGAATAAGTGCCTCTGACTAGTTAGAACTGGAGATTGACAAGATAGTAAAAATAAGAGTTGTTTGAAGTAACTTCTTTTGTAAGGTTTCAAAAGTACAGCATATGTCCTGACCCTACCTCTGTTATGTGGAGTCTTCTGGCCAGCATTTCTCTGCCTCTGAGCTTTCCCCTGGGGCTTTGCTGGTGCCTTAGTTATTAGTTAGAAATGGCTGCATAGCAAATACCCCAAACTTAGTGGCTTAAAACAAAAATTGGTTACCTCATAGTGTCTGTGGGTCAGAAATTCAAGAGCAGCATAGCTGGGAGGGTCCAGCTCAGTCTCGTGAAGTTGCTGTCAGGATGTTGGCCAGCACTACAGGCACCTGAAGGCTGATTGGGCTTGAGGATCTACCTCTGACCCTACTCTCATGGCTGTTGGCAGAAGACCTCATTTCCTTGCCGTATTGACTTCTCTGTAGGGCTTGAATGTCTTCATCACATGGCAACTGGCTTTTCTAGACCAAGTGGTTCAGGAGAGAGCAAGTTAGAAACTACTATGTCTTTTGTGACTTAATAGCAGAAGTCATTCTTCATCATCCCACTGTAGTTTGCTTATTAGAAACAAGTCAGTAAATATAGTCTACACTTAAAGAAAGGGATAGTCAGAAACTTAGTACTCACCAGCTAGAACTTGGAGCTGGATAACTATTGTTATCAAAAAAAATAAAAAATAAAAAAAATAAAATATATATATATATATATATATATATATATATATATATATATATACACACACACACACACACACACACACACACACACACACAGTTATAAAGGAACTAAATGAAGAGGGAGATATTGAGCATATGTATTAATTTATTCAAACATTCACCAGATGTCACTATGTGCAAGGGTGTAAAACAAGCACACATAGTTTGAGGAATTGATACTAGGGAAGATAGACAAAAAAAAGAAAAGAAAGGACAAATACAATAAGTATGATAAATATGACGATAGAGGTAAGCATGGGGTAATTTGGGTACACAGAGAGGAGGCACCTAGGTAAGACTTGGGAGATCAGAGAGTCAGAGAAGTTTACTGAAGCAGAGACTCCTGAGTGAGGGCCCACTTGCCACAAGACACAACTTTTCGGTCCTGGGCAGACAGAGAGCTCAATATTCTTTTTACCTTCCAGAATGTTGCCGAGGCACAGTGCATTGCCAATCAAGTTCAGCTCTTCTATGCCACTGATCGGAAGGAGACCTATGGGTTAGTGGAGACTTTTAACTTCAGACCAAATGACTTCAAATATATGTCTGTCATCGCTGAATTGGAGCAAAGTGGACTTGGAGCGGAATTGAAATGTGTCCAGAACCAGAAGAAGACTTAGAGCTGCAAGAGTTGGCTCCTTTACAGTGTCTGCTCAACCCAAACTCCACCCCCCCCCCCTGCTTGAACTCAGGAGCTCAGCATCTATAATGCAGTCTCTTAAGGAGTTGCCCTGTGTGCTTATGTAAGAAATACTAATGGAGATGAGCCTTATTACTTGATAGTCAGGAACAGAGGTAGCCGAAATTCTGATAATTATCTCTCAGCACACTTGAAGTTTCCTTTTTAAGTGTTTCAGTTCATTATCAGAGATAGCCAAAGATCATCAGGATGGTTGCCTTGATTTTACACACTGTTGAAAGTGCATATGCATTCTGGCATTTTGATGGTACAACTCCCAAATGAGTATAGTTCCTCATCTTTCTAAACTGGTGACAAGATATCTTGAAGACCTGCTATAGTTAGATGTGGGCTTTAGATACTCTTCACATGTGCCAGTTAGCTTGCCAAAATATAACCCAAATATCCTGTTTAGATTCTAGAACAACCGGGTATTGCAATCAGGATAAAGACTTCATCTAGATGCTTCCAGAGTTGCTTTTAGTGTAGCTGGTTTGAAGCATCAGTAGATGTCAGGTATACTTAAAACACACAGGTACAGTCCCTGCATGTTTTTAAACCATGGTTTGTGGCTCCTCCTCTTCTAACTTTGTCTTTTAGAATCTGTGTATTTGGAGGGGGTGAATCAGTGCAATGTAAATAAATCAACTTTTTATAAGGAAGGAGCAATCTAGATTTGTATGTTTTTAAGTTGTTTTTTTTAACAACTTTAAGCCGTGCTACTATATATTACATGAAAAAGTGGGTGGAAGCAAATGTTCCCAGGTTGGGTGTGGAGAAAGTATAGCAATAAAATAAGCTTTGGCTTACAGTCTTTGTTATATTCAGCAGTGTGAACTCTAAGCTATATCCTTAGTGTCAGTGCTGTGAGCTGATTTGATCAAAATTCATCTTTGGGCTTAGTAATTGTTTGAAACACCAAAAAATGAGAAAGGAGCTCTCCAGTTCTAAAAACTCTCATATGGTTTTAGAGTCACTGTTATGGCTCAAAGCTCAGTGATAGAGGAAGGTGGTAGTTACACACCAGTCTTCTGAACCTGAGTCCTCCCCACCATCTTTCCCCCATTGTTGTCAGCTGCCTCTACTACGCCTTTCCTTTTCTTGCTCTGACATGCTTCACTTTGTCTGCTGCTGCCCGAGATCTGGTGGTATGACACTGAACATGGTCAGTGGGAATGAAACCAGTAGTTATAGTGCCTGTGTATGTTTGTTTTCTTCATTACTGGTTGGGCCTGTCCCCAAGCTCTTTAAATGGGGTTGGACTTCCCATTATTTTTTGAGTTGAGTCCTTTTTGTTATACCTCTGAGACTGTATATAGAAAGAGACAGATAATATTTGTTTAACCTGGAAAAGCTGCTAGCTAGCCTTTCACAATTTCTCTAAAGACAGGGTTATTTCCTGATGCAAATTCTGGACCTATCTCTGGTCCTGACAGTTCATTTTTTGAGAAACTTGAATCTGGATGTTTTGAGTCCCAGGAATCTTTAGCATCAGTCAGAGCTGTAGTGTGGGTATCCGGTTATATTTGCTTTTCAGTCCAGATGGACCCAGCCATAGGACATTTCCTAGCCATGGGACATTTTCATAGCACCTCCACCAGAGGGTGAGAAAATGATGGGAAAAGAAATAAGAATTGGCTGCTCATTTATTGCTCTTCCCAGGTTTTCCCTAAACCACAAGGAAGATTGTGTCCATGGACAGTACACTGGAAAGATCAAAGCACCATCTGGCTGTTCCTTATATTTACCTAGGAAGATCTGGCAAAGAACTAAAAGAACATCGTAACATTGGTCAGTAAATTTGTCTGCTGGTGCAAATGGTGTTATAGAAAGTGGACAGGCTTTGGAGTTAAATGAATCTAGATTCAGCTGTTGGTGTTGCAATTCATTAGCTCTATAATACTGAACAAATTACTTAAGCTCTAAATCTGTTTATTCATCTGTAAAATGGGGATAATACTATCTACCTCATAGGATTATTATGAGAATTAATTTATAGACTATAGTAGAGCTTAATAAATGTCAACTCCCTTTCTCTTCTCTACCTCCCTGCCTGTCATTAAAGGTCAATGCAAATTAACATTTCAGGTGTGCAGATCATTCTTTATTCCAGTTGAACAAGCAAACCTTATCTCACATGTTCTCAAACTTTAAGTGGAAGTAGAATTATTTTGAGCACTTCAAAATGCAGATTCCCAAGTCCCAAACCTCAGCCTGCTGAATCATAATCTTTGTAGAAATTCCTGGGTCTCTGCATTTTAATATGTGCTCCAGATGATTCAAATGATGGTAAGTCACCAGCCACACTTTGAGAACCATTGCCTTATGAGTTCTTCACAAAAAATGCCAGGTCTTCCTTTCCTATGGACATTAACCATAGAATTGGGTTCCATCTCCTGTCCTTCGCCTCCTATAGTGGTCCCCTGTGCCTACATTATATTTATGTATTTATGTATCTTTTGCCCACAATAGACTGTGAGCTCCTTGAGGGCCAGGCTTTAATCTCCATTTCTAGTGTCAAGGATATGGCCTGGAACATGTAAGATACTGAATTGTTTATTGAATAAATAAGTGACATGATTTTAGCCAAAACATCATGTTGTGTATGCCTATATTTAAATGCTCTGAATTTAAGAGAATCATTTAGATTGAGAATTTACTGAGTAGGAATATTTGTATAAGTACCGCACGCTAACCGATTGTGCTACTGGAGCTCCTGAGTAGGAATATTTGTAATCCCAGGTACCAGATTATATACAAAGTCTCTGTAAATCACCAATCTTCTGGGCTGTCTGCTCAGTGCAATCCAGTAGTCCTCACAGAGCACCTACTCCGCCACCGCCATGTTAGGTGCAGACACGGAAAATGCGTAGGAACCCTATTCTCAAGCTCTGTTCCAGCCACCGCCTGTGTCTCTCTGTCCTCTGAATCTGTGCCCTACATCTAGCACCTGGTCATCATTTTCCTTATCTTGTTCTCAGGAGGTATATGCTGCTGTTTCTCTCTTCTCCTCCAACCAGTTTGGAAGCAGTAGTCACATGTATGCTTTTTCTTTTTCTTTTCTTTTTTTTCTTTGCAGTCTCCATAATAACTGACCTTTTGTTCAATTTTGGAGAAGAGGTAAAAATGCCCATTTTTCCAGTCCTTGATTTAGCAATGACTCAGCATTTATTAATATTTAGTGAGCACCTGTTAGATGTCAAGTACAGATATAAGAAGCTGGTGAATAAAGTAGAGAACAGGACAAATAAGGCCCTTGTTGTCATGGAATTTATATGCTTGTGAAGAAGACAAATGAATAACATTATTTCAAATACTGGTAGTGCTATGAAAATAAAAAATAATAATGTGATAGAATGCGGAGTGGAGGCAATAACTTAATGGTCAGGAGAGCCATCTGCAGCGGTGATAGCTGATACTGGAGTTGAAGAAAACTACCCGGTAAAGAGAACAGCCAGGGCTGAGGCCTTAAAGTAGGGCCAAGCTCAGCATGCTTATTTCTGGGGCCCAAATTTAAAGGATCATTCCTTGCCTTTGAGCTCACAGTTCAGCAAGGGAGACACTAACATGAATAATTACAATATGGACAAACTGACAGTGCCATTCTCAGAAGAGGGGCTTGGAGGTTAAAGAATGCCAGGGAAGCCCTTGCCAGTGTGGCTCATTTGGTTGGGCAACATCCCATACACCAAAAGGTTGCCACTTTGATTCCTGGTCAGGACATGCTCAAGTTGATCCCCAGTAGGGGGTGTGTGCAAGAGGCAATCCATCAATGTTTCTCTCCCTCTCTAAATATTAATAATAATATTCAATATTTGACAAAGGAGGCATGAACATACAATGGAGTCAAGACAATCTCTTCAATAAATGGTGTTGGGAAAGTTGGACAGATACATGCAAAAAAATTAAAATAGACCAACTTACACCATACAAAAAATAAATAAATAAATAAACTCAAAATGGATAAAGGACTTAAACATAAGACAAGAAACCATAAAAATACTAGAAGAATACACAGGCAGAGAAAACTCAGACATGAAGCAATTTCTTCACCAATACCCCTCCTAAGGCAATGGAAACTAAAGAGAAAATAAACAAATGGGACTACATCAAAATAAAAAGCTTTTGCATGGCAAAAGAAACCAACAAAACAAGAAAGCCCACTGAATGGGAGAACATATTTGCCAATGTTATCACTGATAAAGGTTTAATCTCCAACATTTATAGGGAACTCATACAACTTAATAAAAGGAAGATAAATGACACAATAAAAAAAAATGGGCAACGGACCTAAATAGATACTTTTCTAAAGAAGACAAAAGGAAGGCCAAAAGACATGGAAACATGCTCAAAGTCACTAATTATCCGAGAGATGCAAATCAAAAAGACAATGCAGTATCATCTCACACCTGTCAGAATGGCTATAATCAACAAATCAACAAGTGCTGGCAAGGATGTAGAGAAAAAGGAACCCTCGTGCACTGCTGGTGGGAATGCAGACTGGTGCAGCCACTGTGGAGAACAGTATGGAGTTTCCTCAAAAAACTAAAAATGGAACTATTTGACCCAGCAATTCTAGGAATATATCCCAAGAAACTAGAAATACCAATCAGAAAGGATATATGCCCCTCTTATGTTCAGAGCAGCACAATTCACCATAGCTAATGTTTGGAAACAACCTAAAAGCCCATTGTCTGATGAATGGATTAGAACACTATGGTACATATATATTATGGAATACTACACTGCTATAAAAAAGAAGGAATTCTTACCATTTGCAGCAGCATGGATGGAACTGGAGAGCATTATGTTAAGTGAAATAAGCCAGGCAATGAAAGAAAAACACCACATGATCTCACTCACTTATTGGAAATAAAAAGCATTATAACCTGATGAATAAAAAGATAGATACAGAGGCAGTAAAGCATTGAATAGACTATC